GATAAACAATCTGAATTTCTATTATTTCCTACAATTTACTGTGGGAAAACCAGAGTTATAACCACTTGATCATTTTCTAAACAACGTTCCCACGAGTTCTTTCTATAGACTGATAGTAATTATTCTAGTACTTTCCAACATGTAAATAGAACATTCAATGTCATTTTCGATTCTTTTAAGTCTCACTGCCTAACTAATGCCAGTATCAACAGAATGTGCCGCAGCATTACTATCTTTAAGATACCCTAGTATAACTATAATCGTAAGCGTCTACTCAAAACGAAAAGGATATGGTGGGCGCTCATGTGTGGTGGTCCCTTTCTTTTAAGAGGCAAACTACAGGTCTTATATATCCTCAAAATCGTTCCCAGGACCTTGCCCAATTTTCGAAGGAAAAGTACTTGCATTCAACAAGGTCGACTCAATACAATCCCCTATTTCAAAATAAAATGAAAGTACGAAAAATGTTTTTTTCTGAAATCTGGAAACAATTTAACATACATCAATACTTCATTACTACCCCTGCACGGAGCGCTAAGAGCCAATTAAGGTGATTCCTTAGTAAAAGAACCTAACATAGATTGTAGACGAAACTTGGTACACTGATGTAACAAGTCAAGAAGATGATAAAAAGTAATAAAAAGTGGGGGTCACCGTGTTCGTTTTGACGTCACAATGCTGACATATACGACTATTTAGGACAAAAGGGAGAGGTTTTTTCGATGATGCATGTGGTATCGCACAGAATTTGAGTTAAATGTATTGTTTATCCACTTACATACCAGAAAAATGCCTTTTTTTTGCCCTTGTTTTTACTTTAGGTTTCAAAGTAGACTTAATTTTGACACGCTCTATTGGACCCATTATAGCACAATTTAGTAAAATTGTCAAAAAACTGAACATAGATTCATGCCATTTTTTTTCTCATTGAAAGGGAGCACTGTTCTTATTAAAATCATGAAATAAAATATGGGGGTCACCGTACTCCTTTTTGTGGTAGAGCTGCGGAAAGTGTGCACCACATACACTTTCTCCGATTTTTGAGAGAGGACTGGGGCGAGTTTCAAAATGGTATGTACGTGGAAGGAGGAAGAAAGCATTAAAAAATCCGTTTTTACAGAATTTACATCGAGATATGACAGTTAGGACGCAATGTGATAAAGATGGCGCTTAAAAGAAAATCAAAGTGAGTTAGCAGGAGTTTAACTTCTATTATCGAGGTTCTCCGTGAGGAAGTCGAACTAAGCAACTCGCGTACTGCTTACGTTATGCACATTCCCAACACATAGAGTCTCATTTTGGCAAGAAACAACCGCTAGCAAAAATTCTTATAGCGTTGCTCTTTAGTTTACTTCATTTTAATAATGTTACTTTAGATGCTCTTTTTCAAGGCAGCCATCTTGTTATGCGCAGTAAGAGATGCGCAGTGCAAAACCAGTGAATCACCTTAAAACAAAACAATAGATATAGAGTGCCATGCCCTAACCTCGTACCCAGATCTCTTTTCGACGAAGCCGAGAGGATTTGGGTAAGAGATTACCAGTAACTTGTGCTGGGTGCCTATATGATAGGAGACAATTTACCACGAGTGTAGAGGTACAGTGAGACATGCAGACTGGCAGCTTAATGATTTAAACATTGTTGTGAAACGCATTAATACATTTCTCATCCCTAAACTAGACTTTTAGAAGACTTAGGGCCGGTTAGTATTTAAACGATCGAAGTCTAACTTAGACCGCGGTTTAGGAAATCTTTGGACCTCCAGATCTCTTCCTAAATAGATTATTTTAAGACGAAAAATGTTTTTATTGTTTACGCCATATGCTTTTAAGAAACCGTTCGCGATAAATGGTGTTGACATAAAGCCGTTCAGTAAACTGAAAATGGCTTAGAACGCGGTTTTGTTAAACCCTAGGTAAACTCCATTTAAATAATTAGCCCTTAAAGTTGAGGGATCTGTTAAAGCATTCCACAACAATATTTACCTCGTTTACCTCCCTCTGCGACTGTGGTAAATTGTCTCCCCTATATTCCCCTATATAATGGACAGTATGCACCAGAGCGAGAAATAATCATGCAGTCAGTTTCCATACGTCTAAGAAACGTACGTAGCATCTTATTTAATGCAAACAATGAGCTTCAAAAAAGCTGTTAAAGATAAAAAAAAATACCTACATACATTAAATTTCCACTATAATCATTAATATTTGACTAAGATGCGGAACAAGATTTAATATTTATTGCTGAAAATTAGTTCATAGTTTGCATGGTGAACGAATAAGACTCATCCAATTCATTCTTGGGTTCTACAATACTTAGAAAACATCGTATATTTCACGATATCTGTATTGCATGAAAAAAGATTTGTAACACAAGGCTTTAGGTTTTACCAGTAAAATTCAACACTGAGTTTCTTGCTGTATCATCCTTCAAAAAAGTGGAATTCTAGCTAATTCTAAAACTCTCTCGTTTGCCACAAAGGAAAGTTTTTCAGATCGAGATCTTTTCTTGGTGATTTTATACTACGGCAAATGGATGCAAGCTTTAGGACAACGATTTCCGGGATGGTTTGCGGTGGTGAATCCAGGGGAGGGGCCCTGGGGGCCCGCTCCCCACCCCCCTTATTTTTAGATGAAACTGAGGCCCGAAGGGTCGAAAAAAAAATTTTTGGAGACCGGGCGTCCCCCCTATCTCAGGGGTTGGATGGCCTCTCCCCTCCCCCCCCCCCCTTCCCCCGCGCCTTAACTCCATTTCTGGATCCGGTACTGGTTTGGGTGGTATTAACAGGCAACCAGAAACTAACTGATCATTGCTCGCGCTGTCCACCCAAACGATCCCATAAAACTTTGCGTCGAAAGCTTGTTCCAATTTTCCCTGTTGTCTATCGATTGGCGAATGAGGAAGCAATGTAGGGTAAAGACCCAAACAGACCACAGCCATCCCCCGAAAGCTAGCGATCTCTTTTCTGCTTTTTGAAAATCTTAACCTTACGTATCATTGATTATATACATAAAAAAAGGAAATATTACAATCTATTTGATCGCAATTCAAATTCCGGATCAACGGGATCAACTGTATTTGTCTGCCTGCCAGTACATTCGGTGGACCCTGACCAAGCCAGATATCCTCAGGGATCAGCACTCAGAGACTGTCATCTTCAGGATCAACTGTATCTCCAATTCCCCTTTATTTTTTAAATTCGGCTGGGAAAAAGCAATCGTTTTCCGCTTGGAAATATATCCGCTTTGCTCTTCCCATGTGCAATGATGTTTACTTTATAGGTTGGCAATTTAGCTCCTTTTTCAGTGCTTCGGCGGTCTACGCCCAATACAGATTATCGAGCCATCTTAAGCTACAGTGAAACCCTGGCTTATGGCCACCTCGGTAATACGATCACCTCGCTATTAAGGCCACTTTTTTGGTCGCCCGGTAAAAACCGCCAAACATTTTCTTGTAAAAAAAATCCTCGTTAATACGACCAAATATTTTTTGCCTATTAAAAATATTTTGGTGACCGTATTAACGGGGTTCCACTGTATTGAAATTGTATTCTCATATATCCTCACAGTTTACTGTCATATTCGGTGTTAAATATGAGTACCATAGCACTTGCGATGTTGTTCTGTTCTTGAGACGCCAAAGAAACAGACTATTTTCCTCGATTTTTTCCTCAGGTAAGCCTCAAAGGTTCCTCAGGGGAATTTCGTTTGCGCACCCAGGTCTGGTGAAGAATCTATATTAAGAGTTATAGAATGTCAAATAGTGCTGACCAAACGTTAAACGAAAAAAAAAAAAAACAAGCAAACAAACAAACCGATTTCTCTAAACACCCCACAACGTCGTCCTGATTGTCTTGGAGTTAGTCAACTGACGTTTTTAACACCGTTAAAACACTTCAGTGCACCAGATGAGGAAAAAATGTTAACCGATTTAAATTTCTCCACTTTCACATTTCCATTGGGAAAAGTGGAAGTGGTCTATTCTGTTTCTAAAAATTCGCTTTCATGCCGTTTATCAACTCTTTGTTTGCTTGTTTGTTTTTTGTGTGGTTTGGTATACATTGCTTACCTTTAATATAAAGGCTAAAATTACCATTCCCATAAGTAGTGCTCCGAAAATCACTACGCCTGCTTTTGCAGGCGGGTTCTTTTCGCCATTTAATTGGTTTGCTTTGGCTCCTTTCTTATAAACTTCAATCTCGTACTCTGCCACAACAGATCCTTCCGAGCCTCCTGACATAACAGAGCTTACAAACTCTTCATCCGTTCCTCCTGGTTTTATCGATACCAGAACAGTGAACTTTTCTGAAGAAGAGAGAGAAATGAAAAGCTAAGCATTGTAGGTTCAGTATAGTCTCCCGCCTTGTCTGTCTCGGTGCGCCCGCGGTACTCCTCACCCGACGACTGGGCGCACGGGCTTAGTTTCTTGTACATGACGTCATGATGTTTACTGAGTGATTTATGCATGAAGATTTTCTCCTCAAGGCCGAGCAAGCAATCATTTTCAATCTTGCATTGCCCGCCACCTTTGTTTACTAAAATAGCTTCTCGCTTTCACGCTAATAAATATATGCAATCTTTAACATTGGCCAATCAGAAGCCAGCCTGCAAAATTCTGCGGGATGTCTTTTGATTGATCAATTTTAACAATAGCTAAGCCTTGTCTTTCTGCAGATCCCGTTTATTAATTTTATATCCTTATGACGGCTAATTCACCTTATAAATACTTATTCAAAATATTTCTCCGTCTCTGATTTGCTCAAATCCCTCGGCTAATTGTTCATAACCAGCTTGCGTTAACCAAATTTGGAAGACGCTTGCAATATGCGCAAAATGGCGTCATAGTACAGGCTATTGCCAGTAAAAGGGACATAATACAATTCTTCAGATCATACTCAGCGTCAGTCAATGATTACTAACTTTCAGATCAGTCGATGAACCAAACAATTACATTTCACTACCCCGGCCACTGACCAACAGGGTGGTCCTTCTCTCTTTACTGAGTTGTTATCATTTATATATTCGACAACCTGCCAGATTACCCATCCGTTAGTATTTTAACAGACTTATTTAAATGCTAATGTGCTTCAATTAAGTCTTTAGGACCCGATAAGAGAATTTCCCGTTCAAGTTGTGAGCAGTCACGACAATTTTGGTAATCCTGCTTTAATTCTTTTTTCTGAGAGTATCGGGGTTTTTTCTACTTCTTTTTGGTTCACGACGAGAAGGCAAAGCAGTCGAATCTGAAAAAACATGTGTTCAGACGTCAAAGTAAGACTTTATCCCACAATATTCAGCAAAAATGTCTCATTAATAATTTACTCGGGAAGAAAAAGCAACTAAAAAATTAAAAACATTTGCTGATAGGAAAAGACAAATTCACTGAAAGTACTATTTAAAATAAAATTATTTAATCTTTATATTTTACTGCGGCAACAGTCTATTCAAACAATGTGTTTCAGGACCAATAATGACCTTATTCTTTAAAATCACTTCGTCATTAACAGTATACATTTGAAAAGCATAATATGGCATGAACCTTGAAGGTAGAATGACTTAAGCTTAATCCGCTTCAGTTTAGATTAGAATCGATCTCTATGTGATTATCTTCTGGCTGCTTATAAATTCAGTGCGTAGAACTGAGAAACGTTCAGAGTTTTTTTATATTCGGTCGACACTGGCCAAGATCTCATTTCTTATTCCAAGTAATAAGGACTCCGAGGTTAGCTGTTCAAAGTCTGCTCAGTGTGCCTTGGAAATGAGATAAAGAAGGCGGATTATTAAATGAAGGCAAAGGACTTTATGTTAAATAAAAAGTAGTTACTGTATAGTGGCTTAGCAAAAATCAATGAACAGCACCTTCCTTCCATTTTGAATGGTGTAAAATAGCTCTTTCTGTAAATAGGCTTTTGTTCATTATGACCGTTGTTTCCCCGCTAAAATGCTCCACCTTAATGCTCCATTTGCCCCACTAAAACGCTCGGTCTCCCCCCAAAAAAGTCACTCAAATGCTCGGATAATGCTCATTATACAAATGGTTTTTTAAAATTAATTTCAAAGTTACACTGGCAAAAACGTGCAAGTGTTGCAAGTAACAACTACAACATATACAAGTTCATAAATACAGCCAAAAAACATAATCCTCAAAATCAAAATTGAGGAAAGTACAGAAAGTAGTTGACTATCCTTAGTATAACAACAAATAACTAATAACAGCCCATGGGCTCCTGAAAAAATGCACTAAAATGCTCGAATAAGGCTCAATCAATGCTTTTGCCTCACTAAAATGCTCGAAAAAAATGCTAACGTAAATGTACAAAAGCCTATATGTAAACAGTACCTTATTACATGAAATTTTCGCGAATTTCGCGATACAAGAAAAAAATCGCGAAAATAACATGACGCGAAAATTAAGTGACTACCATGGATGTTGTGGTCAATTTACTCAAGAACAATAATTCATGTGCAAGCATGAACTGCTTGTGGGCATTGTGAGAACGGATTTGTTGTTACTGTTGACATTTAGACCCTGTTTACATGGAGTGGGGGACCCCGGTTTAGTGGGGTAGGTTTCTTTTGTTTCGTGTTCCCCAGAGCGTGAAAACAAAAGAAACCAACCCCACTAGACCGGGGTCCCCCACTCCATGTAAACAGGCCCTAAGTCCAGCTGTTGCGTTTTTCTTAAGTTTGACGTTATTGTTTCTTTGATAAAGTCGTTTTATTTAATTCAAGGACATGTTACATAACATTGCCAATGAAATGTAAATCGTGGTAGTCAAAAACGCGAAATTAAAGTGATTCAAAATATAAAATTTTTACAAAATCGTAAAATTTAAATATGCGCACATCAAAATCGCGAAGTAAACAAGTCGCGAAAATTTCATGTAATAAGGTTTGTAATCCCGTTCAACACCTTTTTCTAATGTTTAGGGTCTTTTCTATGAATAGTTACCCGGAAATCAAGAACGTTTGAATTTAAGAAGGATATTTTGAGTTCATTTATAACAAAACCGTTAAAGAACGTCAACTCACCAAGACTCGACACTGTAACTACCACTATTGACATCACGACAAAGATAACAATGTGCCAAAGAGCCATAGAGACCATGGAAGAATGTTCTGGAAAAACCCCCTCAATGCTTGATGTACAGTAAAAACTTTTGAAAATCTATCAGTTTATGTTCTGTTTTATAAACTGACCTGAAATCTTTCGCCGAAAGCGGAATGGAACGGAGCTGAACGACAATAACTCACTCTGTCTGGAAAACATTAATCAACTTTTTGTTTCATATTCATACGAGCTGCAGGTGGTAGGATTTTTTAAAAAATTGAAATGTTTTTAATGATAATACAGCACACAATAATTGCGCCAATTGCTGCCAAGGACTAGAATCTCCGGCGGCGGCACATTGCCAACAAAATATTTGCTCGTGTGGCTTAAGACTAAAAAAGAGCAGGAATATTCGCTTTTATGAAGATCTGACTATTTTTGCATGTTTTGCACAGCTTTGTCCTGCTTGCAAGGCCGTTAACCTGATTAGCAGACATTTAATCATCTAAGGCTGTGTCCATTCGAAGTTCGCTTTAGTTTGCTAACGCTCAAAAACGTTTCCGTTTACGTAAGCTGTCGGCAACGCCTGATATTTACCCCTTTCGCGTTCTAGCTTCTCTGGAGACACTCTTCAGCGCACCTGCCTCTTCAGCGTTGTGGCGTTTCCGTAGTCACCAGGTGCAAACA